TGCGTGTCTGCGTGTCTGCGCGTCTGCGTGTCTGCGTGTCTGCGTGTCTGCGTGTCTGCGTGTCTGCGTGTCTGCGTGTCTGCGTGTCTGCGTGTCTGCGTGTCTGCGTGTCTGCGTGTCTGCGTGTCTGCGTGTCTGCGTGTCTGCGTGTCTGCGTGTCTGCGTGTCTGTGTGTCTGTGTGTCTGTGTGTCTGTGTGTCTGTGTGTCTGTGTGTCTGTGTGTCTGTGTGTCTGTGTTTCTGCGTGTCTGCGTGTCTGCGTGTCTGCGTGTCTGCGTGTCTGCGTGTCTGCGTGTCTGCGTGTCTGCGTGTCTGCGTGTCTGCGTGTCTGCGTGTCTGCGTGTCTGCGTGTCTGCGTGTCTGCGTGTCTGCGGGTCTGCGGGTCTGCGTGTCTGCGTGTCTGCGTGTCTGCGTGTCTGCGTGTCTGCGTGTCTGCGTGTCTGCGTGTCTGCGGGTCTGCGTGTCTGCGGGTCTGCGGGTCTGCGGGTCTGCGGGTCTGCGGGTCTGCGGGTCTGCGGGTCTGCGGGTCTGCGGGTCTGCGGGTCTGCGGGTCTGCGGGTCTGCGGGTCTGCGGGTCTGCGGGTCTGCGGGTCTGCGGGTCTGCGGGTCTGCGGGTCTGCGTGTCTGCGTGTCTGCGTGTCTGCGTGTCTGCGTGTCTGCGTGTCTGCGTGTCTGCGTGTCTGCGTGTCTGCGTGTCTGCGTGTCTGCGTGTCTGCGTGTCTGCGTGTCTGCGTGTCTGCGTGTCTGCGTGTCTGCGTGTCGGCGTGTCTGCGTGTCTGCGTGTCTGCGTGTCTGCGTGTCTGCGTGTCTGCGTGTCTGCGTGTCTGCGTGTCTGCGTGTCTGCGTGTCTTCGTGTCTGCGTGTCTGCGTGTCTGCGTGTCTGCGTGTCTGCGTGTCTGCGTGTCTGCGTGTCTGCGTGTCTGCGTGTCTGCGTGTGTGCGTGTCTGCGTGTCTGCGTGTCTGCGTGTCTGCGTGTCTGCGTGTCTGCGTGTCTGCGTGTCTGTGTGTCTGTGTGTCTGTGTGTCTGTGTGTCTGTGTGTCTGTGTGTCTGTGTGTCTGTGTGTCTGTGTGTCTGTGTTTCTGTTGGTCTGTGTGTCTGTGTGTCTGTGTGTCTGTGTGTCTGTGTGTCTGTGTGTCTGTGTGTCTGTGTGTCTGTGTGTCTGTGTGTCTGTGTGTCTGTGTGTCTGTGTGTGTGTGCGTGTGCGAACTGAAAGCTGCAGAAGGAAACAGCGCGCTCGAGTTGAATCCTTCCTTGTGGACACTTGCTTCCATTCATCAAGGCTGCATGATGTGCTACCTCATAAGGCTCTCCGCTCTCCACGATGAGGGCCACCTGCAAGTGCTGGTCACTCGGCCATCTAGTGAACTCTAGAAATCCCAGCTACCAGCAAATCGAGCCGGATAGGAATACGAAGCCGCGACGGGCTCCCTTGCGCCTTTGTGCGCAGCTTTTGGCCCACCAGCGCTTGATGCACGGCTCCACAAACCATGAGGGACGGCAGCGGGACCTGCTTCTCACCCGCAGACCTCGCTAGAGTCTCGAAAACACCCACAGAGCACACGTGTATCCTTGGACACGGAAGGACAATACGCTCCAGACACTCCCTTACAGAGAGAGAGAGAGAGAGAGGGACATTCCTGGAACAACAGCTTGCTGAGGTTTGGACCTGTCAGACAGCGTGATGAGCTGATAGCCATTCCTTGGAGCAAGTGCCAGTGAGCTGCAAACTCTCAGGAAGGTCACAGCATGCTGCCAGCTATCAAGGTGTGTCGCTCAATGTGTCATTCAAATAACAACTGCTTCTGTCATCTGAATGGGTCCCATGAACAGTCAACACATGGGTCTGTGGACTCAGCTGCAACGCGATTCTCCCAACGAGATGTGGACAAAAAGATGACCGCTTGCTTCTGTGGCCCTTTCTTTGGAAATTCGTTGAAAGCCCCGAAGCGACTGTCGGATTTCTCAGAGGTGCTTGGCGGCCCAGGTGGCCTCCTGAGCCACACGCTTCAGGTGCCGCTCCAGGCCGGTAGCACCTCCCCGTCCGAAAACCAAAGAAACCAAAGAAACAAAGAAACGAAGCGGGTTAAGCCACTTTGTAAAAGAGTGTTGAATTAGCACCCAAAAAGTGATGTTCAAACCCACAAGAAATATGAACCCATCTTCCACCTCAGCAAAGTGGTGACTTTGCCGATTCAAGTCAACAAACCTTGTGGACGTTTGGAAAAGCTCCCAAACCCTGCATTTCGGGTCTGCACAATCCAGGATGCTCACAAGTCACTCGAAGGCAAACACGTGAACTACTCTCCGACCGAACTTCCGGCCTTCATGCGAGGGGAAGGTAGCATCCACCGCGCGCATTTGCCAGCCCTTGAGCTCCTTGGTGCGGCTCAGCGCCGCCATTTCCGCCTTAGGCAAATTTGAAAACTGAAGCGAAGGGCCTTAGGCGAACCAAGGGGAAGCACCTGAAGCACCTGAAGCACTTGAACACGCCCAGCGGCCGGCAGCAAGCAGGGCTTGTCCAGCCAGAGCCGCTGGCAGTGCTTCGGGCTAGGGTCTCCCAGGACGTTGACTTCCGGGCCAATCCAGCAGCCTGTGTCGTCAGTGCCAGCTTTTCGAAGCTCCGATACAACGCGTGTCTTGTCTCGGTGCCAGAGCACTCTCAGCCTATTCCTCGAAGGAGTGCAAGTCGCTTTCAGGCCAGGTGATGTGCAAAGGGGTCCAACAGAAAGCCAGCGGCAAAAAGAGCGGGTTCAAAGGCAGACCTTCAGCTTGTAAGCTGCTCCTTCTCTCTTGCTGCATCTGCAAGCTAGGAGCCTGACATTTACCCACCTCGTTAACATTGCAGGCCATTGCGTTTGACTCGTCCACCATGCAACGCCGTGACGCGATACCCCGCCTAGTGACATCACCACTGATTCACGGATCGGATCGATCGGAGGGTTGGTCACCTGTGGAGGCCGACTCAACACAAACCATCACGCATGGTGACCCTAAATTCGATTTGACAAATGTGCTCTAGGATGCGACACACATAGAGTTCTTTGGTGCAAGCTGGAGCTTGTTTTTTGCAAATGTAGGAACCCCTGAGCAAGCCATGCTCTTAAAGCCTCAGATAGTTTGTATAGCTTACAGCATGCGGCGTCTGTGAAAAACATTGGTTTATATAGCCCTGAATGCTACTTCGAGATGATAGGGTTTTTGTTCTGGGTATGTGCCAGTATTCATACACACACATGCACATGTGACTGTGGCAGCCTTGCCTGAGCAAAGAGCTGGTAGAAGAAGTCAAAGACTGGGCGGTTTTGCTCGGAGAGGCACGCCAAGGGGGTATCGTTACCCATGCTGCCAAGTGCTTCCTCACCGTCCTCCGTCACACGCACCAACACTTTCGAATGTCCGCATCTATTCCATCCCGTCACTTTCTTCTGACAAAATCGATCCATTCCGTGTCCTTGCCCATGGGCAGCAACAAAAGCTCCAACGACTCCTGGCATTGAGTTAGAAAGTTCCAAAGTTTCTTGTCGGAAAACGCGAACCGTGGATGGGATGTGAAAAACAGAAGGAAAAATACACGCAAACAAAACAGAGCCGGAAAAAGAAAAGAAAACAAAAACACCCTTCCCACCTCCACGTGGTTTTTGGCAGTCCTGGGTGTAGCCAAAGCCTCTCAGCAGCGGAGCGCGCACGTCATCCTTGATGGCGGGCGGCTGGGGAGCCCCATTCAACCTGAGCTCCGCAAAAAACGCCTTGGTTCGAAAAGAACGAAACTCGGGGCAATCGGAGGGTTGGAATGTCTGCAAAATTCCTCATTCCTGTCGCTTGTTGGCGACTAACTTTGAGCGAAAGCTCCAAAACCGAGCTAATTATCCCTTGAATTGCCGCACTTCCAGTGAATGAGAGTCCTCCCCGACTCAACAAGTGGCAGCTGGGCGTTCCAGGTCCGCTGGTGGATCTGCCTCGTTCCAGCCCAACCTCTTCTCAGAGGGCCAGCGGATGTGGCCGCAGCCAAAGGTGCGTCTCCATGCGGGATTCCGGACGCTCTCTCACCATCTCCACAGCGAATGTACCCTTGCACTTCATGCAAGGCGCACTCCGACGTCGCTTCAGCAACACCCAGCTGGCCGTGTCTGGAGCCAGCCAGCTCAGACCCAGAAGCCTCCCAACGGCCGTTCATTTCAAGAGACCTCTTCGGTCTACGCTTGCCTGCCGACATATTCCCGTGTCAAAATCCTCCTTCTCGTGTCACCAAGCCTGCGCTTCACAGTCTCTCGTCTACACTCCGATTTCTCGACACCTCCGCAGCGCCACGCTTGAGCGGCTCCTTGGCCTCCCCAGCAGCACCCCCTTTCTTGTCCACGCCTCCTGAGGCCGCAATGACCGACCCGACCCCTTCCTTGTTGAGGGTTGAGGCGGATTCTGCCGGCGTCTCCAGCTTCACTCCTTCCTCCGCCTTTCCTCCGCAAGCTACGACTTCCGCTTACACGCCTGCTTCCACATAAGCCTCCCTAAACCTAGCCCCCATACCTTTCGCGCCTTTGAACCTTGTATGGTACGCCAGGCCCTTCATGGTCCGAGCAGAGGTCGTCGCGCGCTGCTCATCCTGGTGGCATTTACTTGCCGCCCTTGCTCGCCTTCAGGCTCTCAAAGGAATGCGCCCGCAATGTCCCCAACCTCCCTCAAGTTTTTCGCAGCAACCACCGTGTTTCCAAAACCATTTCTTTCCATTCCACCAACCCTTCTTGCCAGTGAGCCTGGGCCACGACGCTCTGAGCACACCCGCCCGTCGCTCCAACAACGTTCTGGTGAATGACGATGAAGCGCGGGCGTCCCGCTCGTAGCCTACTAGGTGCGGTACGCCTGGGCGATGTCTGCGGAGCGAGTACATGACGCGCAAACCGCCACGGTGACGTCGCCGGGCCTGTTGGTCTACTCAGCTTGCGGGCCAACCCCCCCGCTTGCTCGCTCCCCGCTCGTGGACGTGCTCGCTGAGGACGGCTCCAAGCCAACATCCTTCCACTGCAAAGGCCGCGCGCAGTCTTCAATTGCCACTGGAAACGCGCAGTCCCTGCGCCATGACTCCTCCGACGCTCGTGATCTCCCAGGCCATTTCGAAAGCACTGGAAGCGGTAGCCAACCGCATCGGCTTCTTCAGGGGCATCATCTCGCGTTCGTCCATCCCTGCACCAGCAGTCCGTCTTCGCTCATCTTCTGGCAAACTCTCCCTTCCGAGCAGCAACTCCACAAATAAGGAAGCGACGTGGCCCTCATGTTCATGACCTTCTTCCTTGTCATCGTCCTCATCAAGCGCCAGCGCGGCGCTTCTCATCGGCGGCGCCTGGCTGGGCTCCCGGCCCAAGTTGTGCCCCGGAACTTCGGAGGAAGCCTAGACAGGACTTGTGTCTCTGGCGCAAGTGGAACTACCGGATCCTTCGCCATCTCGCTGACCCACTTGACCGGCTCCGAGGTCGGGGCACCCGCGCACGACCACGACCCTTCACCGTCATCACGTCGCCGGTGTGCTGCGATGTTTCCTTGATCCTTTGCTCCACTGCCTTTCGAGCGATGGCCTGAGCCCTTGGGCCCGGGGTTTTTACTCTGACACACAAGCGCAGTATTCAGATGCCTGGCGTGCCTAGCGGCAAACACCATAAAACCAGGAACGGCAGAGCAAAATCATCTCAAAAAAGACCATTTGCGGGCCTGCAGAGAAGAAATCGGGCCCTATTGTTGCTGGCCAGGGAGCCCGCCATGGAACAAGCGCCAAGACAACAAAAACAAGCGGCAAGAAGCCAGACCACAAAAGAACAAAACACTGCCAAAACAAAGCAAGAGAAAGTGGCTGAGAAACTCCTTCCGTTTTTGCCGGGCTGCAAGCCTTCCATGCTCATGGATTCACTCTTCAGCCAGTCGCCCCATGGGTTGGGCTTGGCAAAGCTTTGCTTCAGCTCCGCATCCTGGCTGTGTAAATTCCTTCCCAGTACGCGCGGACACGGGCGGCTCCCTGAATAGAAGAGCAAAAATGGACCTTCAGTTCGGAAACCCTTTGGCCCGCCCCGCACAGTGCCACACATATTTATACACATGCGCCGGAGTGGACTGTGCCCAAAAGGTCTGTTTCCAAAGCCGCGCGCATTTCGGCACCTAACATCTTGCGGAGGACAGATCAAACGAGGTCCAAGAAAAGCTGCCTCGGCTGGGCCGAGTCCGGGGTGTTGGGAGAAGGGGGGGGAGAAGGGGACGAGAGGGGGAGGAGAAGGGGAGGAAGGGTCTCTCTCTCTCTCTCTCTCTCTCTCTCTCTCTCTCTCTCTCTCTCTCTCTCTCTCTCTCTCTCTCTTTCTCTCTTTCTTTTTGTCTGTGTCTGTCTCTCTGTGTGTCTCTGTCTGTCTCTGTCTGTCTTTGTCTGTCTCTCTGTCTGTCTCTGCCTGTCTGTCTCGCCTGCTTTTTTTTGTGTATTTGCGTGTGTATATTTTATATCTAAATGTATTGGTTGAGATTGGAACGCGCTGGTACCGAGCCGGGAGTCCTGCGTCAAGCACCCCTTGCTGAAGTTCGCCCAAAGCATCTTGCCTTACACGGCGCTTGCATCGTTCGGCAATGTTGCATGAAAGAGCCAAGCGGCCAGGAGAGAGACGGCCTTTCTCGACAATCGAGTCTGGAGGCATCTTCAGCACACCACACTCCGAGGAGATGATGAGCTTCTTGTCCTTTGTCACCTGAGAGCAGCTTGGAGGACCCAACTATCCGGCTAGAGCCCCCCAACAGTGTTGGGGAAGGTGCCGTAACACGTTAAATGCAAGGGGGGGCGAGTGTTTTCCATCAGCCAGTAGTGTCGTGGGCAATCTAGCCTGAAGCATGGTGCCCAAGGCGCTATAAATTTGGCACTGAGGCGCTTCCACTGACAAATGCGCAAGTGCCAAATCTCACAAATCGCGCAACTGTTCGGCACACCACGAAAATCGACTGGGGAGGTTCCAGCTGACGGAAGAAGCGGTAGAGTCAGACTCAGGACAAGTCCACCCCAAAGACCGTTGCACCACGGAAGAGAAGCAGAACCTTCAAAGAATCTGAACGTATTCCCCCCTGGCAACGGATGCCATGCGCATGGGGGCTTGAAAACGAGCTGATCGGCTTGATGAGCAACCCTGCACAAAGACCGCAGGCCATTCCAGTTTACGCCCTTTGCAGCGCGCGAGACAGTGAAGCCGACTTGCAGAGTCCTTCTGAAAGCCACCTGGCGTGCTTGCCGCTGCTCATTGCCTCAGAGCCGCGCCTGCCTTTCGCTCGCAGTGTCAAGGTGTCATCATCAGCGTCCAAGCCGTTCGAACGCAGAACCTTGCGCGCACGTGCAATATTTAGGTCAAGGAGCAGGCTGACGCCGTCAGGCGTCTGCTGCGTGCGTTCCACACACCGAGGAGACGATGGCGCTCTGTCCCCACTGTTGCCGAACCATCGTCTCGTGTGTAGACCAAGCGTGAACGAATTTAGGCACTGGCAGGCTCGGCATCTTCACCCAACGGGCCCATGCCCTTTGGCTTCAGTTGGCCTCGAAACTGTTGGGTTGAGAGATCGTTCTTCCGACAAATTTTAATCTGACACTTACGTGTGTCGATTAGGCTCATGTGGAAGTCCCTTCGTGATCGTGAATGGCCCTCGGCGAATCGCCAACAAGGAACGCGCAAATGAAACTGGAGGTAGCTGCAGCTCACCGCTCGAGATCACCACCAACACCATCTGACCCCACGTCTGGTGGAACTCGGCATCCCCGCGCAACTCCTTTGTTCAAAGACGCTTAAACACAGCTTCAAATAACGCTTGCAGCACCATGTTGATGATGCCAAGTAACATCGCACTGTGTCGGGAACCCAAGCCGTGTTCCAAGATTACGCAGACTGACAAAGCATGGCCAGACCACCACAATACCACAACGCGCGATGCTCCAAATTCCAACCGGGCCACAACAGAAGCGGGCCGCCCGCCCAAAGTCCGCGATCTCGTTCAAGGCTCGCCGCAAGACCTCTGCAATCGCCGCATGAGATCTCTTCGTGGGACCTCGGCAAGAGGATCTGTGCGAGATTCGCGTGTCAGATCTGTTGCAAGGTTTTGGCACAAGACCTCGGCGCAAGATCCTTGAGCAAGATCTCTTCAGGATCTCTGCAACATCTCTTTTAGAGAGCAGCCTTCTACTCTCCATTTGATCGCGCCACACAAAGCCAGAGCGATCCCACCCACCCAAAGCCCTTGCCATGTTCACAACTCGCACCGCTCCTCAGCCAGAGCAATCCGACCCACCCACAAAGTCCGCAGAGGGTTCACTTTCGATGTTCAACAGTTCGCACCGCGTCACAGCGAGAGCACCCAAAGTGTTTCGGAGGGCTCACTTTCGATATTTATAGTTCGTATAGTATCACAGCAAGAGCGGCCCAACCCGCCGAAAGTGCGCAGAGGGTCGGTTGCCAAGCCCGGCCCAGCGCGTTGCGCGAGCCTGCCTAGTCGACATACGCATGGACATCTCACAGGGGAACTCTTGCGCAGGCCTGCGCAGCCGAAAAGCGCCGGCCACATCTCGCCCAACCACCGTGCGAGCCTGCGCGGTCGAAACACATTTCAATTCTACAAAGTCACGATTGTACGCAAATAGTACGCAAATGCTCCAGATCAAGCACCCTGATCCAACACCGGCCCTTTACCCTTGAGAACGCCTGTGTGTGGAGACACTCCTTGAGGAACAAAACGCCACAGGTCTTTTGAGAGCGTTGGCTCCAAGAAGCGATTCAGCCAAGCTGCATAGTACCGGCAAGGTCGCAAACCATTCCGGTCCAGAGATGCTCCTATTCAGCAAAGCATGCGTCCATGGTACACAGGCATCACATCCACGCGACGCAAGGGCAACCAAGCGCAACATGCGGAAGGTGACAAAAGATAAGTGCCAACAGGCCCGTTTTCCCAACGGGTCCGACGCCATCGCCGTCGGTGAAGGCAACCAAAGCAGGCCCATCCCAAGGCTCAATGATGGCAGCCTGAAACTTGTAATAGTCCCGAATCTTCTCGTCCATCCTATCTGCATTCTCCTCAGTGCTCAAAAGCCTCAAGATTTCACTACAAGCTGAACTGCTCTCCTCATACACCAGTCTTCACAACCCCGATCAGAGCTTGCTGCAAGTCGCCCACGCGGGGGGCATCATCATGGCCACGGCTTCTGGGAGACTGCGCCCTGAACAAATCGACTCGGAACAGCGACGAAACTCGTCTAGTATCTTCTGGGAAGCTGGGTGCAATTAATTCGATAGGAAGCATGGCACGATGACAGTGAAAGAACTGCTGTACAAATTTCGGCAATTCTGCAACTGCGCATTGCGAACGAAGGAGTCGTTGCAGCGTTTCAGGATGAATGCTGCCCTTTAAGCGCCGGCACTCAGCTCACATGCGCACTGCTAATTGGCGTAAGTTTGGGTTGCAAGAAACAGGCACACTGAATGTTGTTTTTTGAAGCGCGGCGGAAAGAAACAAATGGACGCGCATAACAAAAATTGGAACTGTATTTACAGTATTCGCGGACAAGCGTGAATCAAGTCAAAGGAGCTTCGCTACGCGTGAAGAAAGACCTTCAAGACATTCGCCTCGAGGGGGGCAAAGCTCCATCAAAGGAACTGCATTTTCCAAGGCCCCCAAACTCTAGAGGGTTAGCCTTGCAGGAAGAGTTCCAAGCAAAAAAGATCGTTTTTCGCAGGCCCCAAGCTTTCCAGGGAGTTGACCGGAACCAAAAGCAAAGCAACAGAAAATAAACAAACAAAAGCGATTGTTCTCATTCGTCCCAAGCCCAAACTACAAAAGAAAATGCGCTACATAAAGCCTGTGTTTGTTGCTGCCGTGAAGCGGCACTCGTGTGTTTTGCAGGACGTTTCTTCTGTTTTCAAGAATGTTCTGCTGCGTCTGTGTCTGTGTCTGTGTCTGTGTCTGTGTCTGTGTCTGTGTCTCTGTCTCTGTCTCTGTCTCTGTCTCTGTCTCTGTCTCTGTCTCTGTCTCTGTCTCTGTCTCTGTCTCTGTCTCTGTCTCTGTCTCTGTCTCTGTCTCTGTCTCAGTCTCTGTCTCTGTCTCTGTCTCTGTCTCTGTCTCTGTCTCTGTCTCTGTCTCTGTCTCTGTCTCTGTCTCTGTCTCTGTCTCTGCCTCTGCCTCTGTCTCTGTCTCTGTACTGCTTTGTGCCAGTCGCTGCTCGTTTTCAAGAAGTCTCCTGCCTGTCCCATTGTTTGGATCTCATTGGGCAGTTTGCCTGCATCCGGGATTGCATTTCCAAGCAACGCGCTGTGGTTTTGGGGCCCAAACATTCCTGCCCCCCTTGAAACACAATTTGGGGGTGCAACAGTGGCCTACTTGAATAGGATCCCGTTCGTGTGTGAAGCAATGACTGTGCCTGGTAAATAGTCCTGTAATATAGTGTACCACGGAGCGCGCCGCAAGGGTTTCAGAAATGCATTAAAAAGACATGAGCCAAAATGGCGGCACGATTGTGTGGGGTTCAAGCAAAAGCAAAAAAACAATCACAGAACAGACACAAACTTCCTGTATAACGTTCAGCATGAAATTGGCTTAGCCCTGTACGCCCTAAGCTTTCAAAATTAGATTCAACTTGTCGAAGTCACCTTTACCTTTGTGACGCGCTTGAATTTGTCCGTCTGGCAACTGGAAACTCAAATGCCAAGCGCGCTGCATGTTGAAATCGAATTCGCACAGACATGGTCGTCAGCAAAAGAGGCACCTAGTCGTGCCTACAAGTTCGCATCTTCCTAGACTGATGCCTGTCGTAAAGTCAAGGACAGGGTTGTCCTATGTGAAACTACCGATTCTCTCACTGCATGAAAATAGTCGTAAAGTCGAAGAAGTTGGTACGGCAATAAGAAGAGTCTGTTGTTGATGAGGTCAATGGAAACCCGTCAGTGAGGATATCGAATGTATTCTGTGACAAGCGGCAGGATGTGTTCTGCTGAGCGAACTCTTCAACAATGGTGATGTCTTAATCCACATCTTCTTGTTTGAGACTTCGCTGCAGGAACCGAATTCTTGTTGAACACGCTTCCCATTGGCAGACGATGTTCGGCGGATCGATGTTCCTGTCGCGTCCGTTCTCCAGATCTTGACGCTTGTGAGAACTGTCCGGCGTGCCAGGATGGGCATCGCGTCCCTTCCTGCTGACGCATGTTGCAACGCGGATGCGGAAGGATCGTTGTTCAGGATGAAGTCATCGATGCGTGCCATGTGAACGTACTGCCGACCCTTGCGATTCATTTCCACCCCTGGCTTCAGTCCTTCGGCCAAACCTTGCACAGCTCTTCGTGCGTTGCACGCAACATGAGTGTGATCTGCTCCTTCTTGAGTGGAACCATCTTGCGCTCCGGTTCAATGGCTTCAGGAGCTGGCCGACTAGGTCTGGATGTTGGCTGAGGAGCACGCTGCGTGTTGGTCATACTGAGTGGGTGACACGCAATTTTCATAGCTTCTTGCAACCATTCCACATGTTACGACAAAGCCAGTCAGTTCGGTCTTGTCGGATAAGATCAATCTCAATTCCTGGCGGGCACTGCTGCATTGTCTGCTGTATAGCGGATCTTGGATGGTCACTGGCTGAGCATTCTTGAACCTAACTTAACAGCGTTGCTGCTGCTAGTCGTGTTGAACTCCTTCTCCTCGAGAAGGTACACCTCATTATCGAGCGGCTTCACCTTGAGCTGTCGCAGGATGATACGCACGAGATCCTGGCAGAACTGGGCAGGGTATATCTGCGCCAGCCTGGTTCTGCTTCCGCATATGCCCGATATTGCCTTCAAGCGGTTGATGTTCATGTTTCACTTTTGTGAAAATTTGGCTTCAACACTTCAGGCTTCACAAGGCCGGCAGTGCATCAAGCTTGTTGGATTTAGGCCTCTGAGCCCGGACTCAGGGTCTCCCAAGATCTCAAAAAACAACACTTGCTGCGCGCAACGCAACTTCCCGATCCTGGCTGCCTGCTGAGGTTTTTCGATGATGAAATATCTCCCGCGCCTTAACTGGCATCGTGCGATCGATGCCACGAACTCAACAATTGGGGATGTAGCGCTTTCACTTCTCCCAGACCTTCTGCTTTTCATGTTGGGTGTTCTGTATGTTTGACCATGGGCCGCGCGCCGGTGCGCTTGTTCCTTGATGATACTCAAGACCATGCGTCGCCCCTTGGACATCATTACGTTGAACCCGTCGCGGATGTCAACAGAAAACCCAAGCTTTACACCTGTAGGTGAGCAGCATTGGCTGAATCTTGCACTTCCTGCAAAATCTCGAGCCCATGGATTTCTCCTTCGCGTACGCAATTCCAACGCGCTTGCTCGGATGAGGCAACAGGAGATCAATTCCTGATTTTTCAGGTGGGATAATTTCATCCCTTCTGACCCTTGTCACGTCTACCTTGATGAGCCGAGTTCCGAGATCGAGTCCAAAAACAAAAACGACTTTCTCCCTTTTAACCATCGTTGCTTCCGTCGGAAAGAATCTCGAACTTGTGTTCCTACCAGTACAACATCTCCGACGTGAAGAGGTTTGGAGCCCGTTCGGAGATTCTGAGCAAGGTCTCTTCGAGTCTTCGGATCGACGAGCACCTTGGAACACTTGTCTTGACCTGGATTGCTGTCAGCTCTTCCTCGACCCTGTCGACCGTCAGCTGCGCATGTGTTGCGACATCGAGCTGGATTAGACCCTCGTAGGTGAAAGTTTGGTTCTGGACAGTTGCAGCGGCCTTGGCAAGTTGTCTGCGCGTCGGACCTTCCTGAGAGAGGCAGGCGCTGTTCCTGGATGATCTTGAGCTGCGCCTTCAAGAGCCGAACTGCTGCTTGAGCTCAGCTTGGCCACGGTGTACTTGGCCCCAGCGATACTGGTTTGATGTCAAGGGATTGATAAACTCCCACATTTCAGTCATGAAAGCTTGCTCTGTGACAACTGGTTTGGGCTGCAAGTGGGACTGGTCACAGCGGCTCCTGAGGATGGCGATGGCCTCGACTGCTTCTGAGGTGAGGAGACGCCAAAACGCACACAAGTTGCTTCGAAAACATACGGATGACATCGCTGCACCATTTGAACCGTGTGCGAAGCTTCCAATATGGATCTATTTGAAGCTGCAACTTCGGTCGTGACTTGAAGATGTTTTATTGGATCACTCTGGGCCGCTGCACCAACTGGTTCTTGCTTGGCTGGTTGTGCGCTGAGTTCGCGCCGCCGTTGAATGTGCTTCAGCCCACGATTTACGCATCGTATCATGTTTCCCAATCCCGCACAGGGATTGACAACGCCAAGGTGCCACATTCTTCCACCCTGATATGATTGTGCTTCCTTCACGCCACGGATCTTCTTTGGAAGCTTCCATTCTGCATCATTTCCAGATGTGACGTCCCTGAAAATTCCACAAGTATGGTTTGCAGGAACTGGCTAGAACCAAAAGTCCATACTCTGAAGTATGCTCCAGACATGACCCGAGCTTGCGATTTGGAAATAACTTACTTCGCCTCGTCTCACAAAGCCTCCCACGCCCTTGCTTCCTCCTTGGGTCAAAACTATGCGCATGCCGGAAGATGTCCTGGGTTGTTGGGTTCAAGACCCCCCGTCAGCTTCTTGGAGGAAGGACATGTCCGGAACTATTGCGGTTCAAAGCCAGGACAAGGCTTTCGAGATTCAATGTGAGGATATTGAGTCTTGAGGCACATGTCTGTGCCTGAGCCATTCCAGTATCGGTTCTTGTTCTTTTCGTCTTTGTAGACTGTGGCACATGTCGAAGAAGATCCAGCCGTGCCTTCCGTTTCTTCGTAAGATCGTTCAAGGTACAATCTTGAACACCATGCAGAATCCTGATCGGGTAGCCACATTCAGGCTGCTGCTGCAAAACTCTATTCGGCATGTTCCTCCCCTGGGGAGGGAGCTGATACTTTCAAGTTGAAGATGGGTGAATCCGCCTCATGGTGTAAACATCGGAAATAAAATAGGCTTCTTCTTCTCAGGCCTGAACTTGTCTGCTGTCACATTGCCCATGAGCTCTGAAGCTTCCTCGAACAGTTGTTCGTTATGAGGGCAATCTTTGCTGTGCAGCATATTGCCTTGGCGTGCTTGGACGACGTGTCCTCTATGATGAGCTCATAGTCCTGAGACTTGTCTTCTTGCTGATCACGCCTTGCAATGCGGCCGGCTTGCCTTGCTCCC